GAGCTTTACCCTGTGTCTAACCCCGTGCTGTCCCTGTCCCTGGGAGTGTTTGATGGGGGGGATAGTGTAGAGAGAGCTTTACTCTGTATCTAACCCCGTGCTGAGGAAAATTGTCGCACAGCAAGATCCCACGCACAGCAATGTGTGAATGACCCCATTATCTGAGCTTAGTGATGTTGGCAGAGGGTTAAATATTGGCCTTAGGACCCAGGGGAGAACTCCCCTGCTCCCCCCAGTCTTCTTGCACTCCCTCAGCGCTGCCCCTCCGACAGTGCGGCGCTCCCTCAGCGCTGCCCCTCCGACAGTGCGGCGCTCCCTCAGCGCTGCCCCTCCGACAGTGCGGCGCTCCCTCAGCGCTGCCCCTCCGACAGTGCGGCGCTCCCTCAGCGCTGCCCCTCCGACAGTGCCCGCTCCCTCAGCACTGACCCTCCGACAGTGCCCGCTCCCTCAGCACTGACCCTCCGACAGTGCCCAAGCAGGTCTGTGTGAGAGAGGGAGAGGGTGGCAGGGAAACAGAGAGTGTGTAAGAGGGGGAGCGAGAGAATGTGTGAGAGAAAGTGAGAATATATGTTGGGTGTTTTGGCTTGGGGCAGGGGATGTGACCCAGTGTAAGGGCAGTTATGTGAGGATGTTCTGCGACCGCATGAGTAGTCGCAGTTTGAGCCCATTCTGAGCAGCTGAGATGATGGAGTGATAAGTGGGTTACAATGAGCTGTAACCACTCCTTCCTATCAGACCCACTCCTCCTCTCGACACAGCCCACAGTTGCAGCAATAGCTAAGTGTGAGGCAGGTCCCCACTCTCGCTGAAGGTGCTTTTGTTTCTTGCTGACAATAGCAAGTTGAACTCTGCAAACTTCCCCCACCTGCGCAGTGGCTTACTGTCAGCTCATCGTGACATTATTTCCAGTGTCTGTATCTCTCCGAGTGTCTGTCTGTGAGTCTGTGTGTCTGTCTGTGAGTCTGTGTGTCTGTCTGTGTGTCTGTGTGTGAGTGGACATGTGTGTGTGAGTGGACATTGTGTGTGTGTGTCTGTCTGTGTGTGTGTGTGTGTGAGGTCTGAGCCAGTTATTTTGGTAAAGGGTTTTCACCTTGTTTGTACTGCTCGCTGTGTCAGCTCAGATACTAATGTTTATCAATGATCCCCCAACTCCCCACAAAGGCCCAGAGGCACCCAGCCCCTTATTGTGCAGAGGGCAGCCTCCATCTCCTGCACAGCAAGATCCCACGACCAGCGTCCATACCAGTGTTCTTTCTGTCCCTCTGTGTTTATCTTCCCCTTGGCACTTCCGTTTTATTTGACATCCAGCTGTGTCCCATTACCCCCAGCCCACCCCGAGGTCTTACCTATCCCAAAGTCCCCACCCTCCCTTCCCCACCTTACCCCACCATGTCCTGTTCAGGACGGGCCCCCACTCAGCCTTCACCCACTGAGCAATCTGACCGGCCTCTCCACTACAGCTCCCCGTCAGAAAACACTGCAAAATACAATTTGTCCCCTTTCCTCCCTACCTCTGTCCCCTCTTCCCAGCACCCCCTCATACCCCCTCCCTATCTCTGTAACCTCATCCAACCCCTACACGCCCTTCCCTATCTCTGTCACCCCCTCCAGCCCCCTACACCCCCTCCCTATCTCTGTCACCCCCTCCAGCCCCTACACCCCCTCCCTATCTCTGTAACCCCCTCCAGCCCCTATACCCCCTCCCTATCTCTGTCACCCCCTCCAGCCCCTACACCCCTTCCAGCCCCTACACCTCCTCCCTATCTCCCTAACAGTATTAACCAGGCCGTAGCTGGAGCATTGTGTCCAGTTCTGATCCCCACACCCCAGGAGGGATGGGATTTCCCTGGAGAGGGCCTAGAGGAGATTCACCAGGATGTTGCCTGGGATGGAGCGATGGAGAGTGGCTGGTCAGGCTCATGTTGTTTTCCTCAGAGCAGAGGAGGCTGAGGGGGGGCACCTGCTGGAGGTGGAGAAGGGCAGAGATACAGCAGCTCGGGAGAAACCTCTCCCTGTTAGTAGGAACCAGGGGGCACAGCTTGAAGGTAAGAGGCAGGAGGTTGGGAGGGGATCTGAGGACTAGTGTTTATACCCAGAGGGAGGCTGGAACTCTCTGGCTGAGAGGGTGAGAGAGGCCTGAACCCTCAAAACATTGAAGACGTTGGGTCACAGATAGACAGGGTGTTTAAGAAGGGGTTTAGCACACTTGCCTTCATTGCTCAGACCTTTGAGTACAGGAGTTGGGACGTCATGTTGAGGTTGTACAGGACGTTGGTGAGGCCTCTTCTGGAGCACTGTGTCTAGTTCTGGTCACCTTGTTATAGGAAGGATATTATTAAACTGGAGAGGGTTCGGAGGAGATTTACCAGGATGTTGCTGGGAATGGAGGGTTTGAGTTATAAGGAGAGGCTGGATAAGCTGGGACTTTTTTCAATGGAGCGTAGGAGGTTGAGAGGCGATCTGATAGAAGATTATAAAATAATAGATATCAATAGAGTTAATGGTAGGTGTCTGTTCCCTAGGGACTGGGGAATTTCAAGACTAGGGGGCACATTTTTAAGGTGAGAGGGGAAAGATTTAAATAAGACATAAGGGACAAATTTTTACACAGAGGGTGGTTTGTGTGTGGAATGACCTTCCTGAGGAAGTGGTGGATGTGGGTACAGTTACAACGTTTAAAAGACATTTGGATAAGGACATGAATAGGGAAGGGTTTGGAGGGATATGGGCCAGGAGCAGGCATGTGGGACTACTTTAGTTTGGGATTATGGTCAGTATGGACTGGTTGGGCCGAAGGGCCTGTTTCTGTGCTGTGTGACTAGTTAGATGGGCATTTGATTTGGCACAAGTGTGCGTGGCTATGGGCCAGCTGCTGGGAAACGAGAGGAGGATTGATTGATGTTTGATGACCAGCACAGATAAGATGGACAGAAGGGCCACTTTGCACGCTGGAAGCTATTTTGGAAACATGGGTTCTGGCCTCTGGATGGGTCCAGCAAGTGAGAGAAGAGCCGGGACGGGGGGAAGCGAGTGGTTGAGAAATGGTCTTGAGCTGGTGGGTTGCACCATGGCCTATTCGCTGTGACCAACAGAGACGAACCCAAGGGTGAATGAGTTCACCACTGCTCACTGTGAGGGTGGGAGCTGGTGCGTTAGCATGAGGTTAGGCTGAGCCAGTCCTGTTCTCTCTCTCTCTCTCTCTCTCTCTCTAATGAAATTTATAGATGACCAATCTCTAGAAGCAGTACATTCCAAACATGTTCGCACATGTTATCATCTCTGCATCTCACATACTCTCTGTCACCCAACACCATCCCCACCCCCCCCACACTCCCTGACACTTACAGGTTTCAGCGACAAAACCAAAACTCATACTCTGTCAGTGATGAGGGAGCGCCGCGCTGTCGGAGGGTCAGCGCTGAGGGAGCGGGCACTGTCGGAGGGTCAGTGCTGAGGGAGCGCCGCACTGTCGGAGGGTCAGCGCTGAGGGAGCGGGCACTGTCGGAGGGTCAGCGCTGAGGGGGCGGGCACTGTCGGAGGGTCAGCGCTGAGGGAGCGGGCGCTGTCGGCGGGTCAGCGCTGAGGGAGCGCCGCGCTGTCGGAGGGTCAGCGCCGAGAGAGCGCCGCGCTGTCGGAGGGTCAGCGCCGAGGGAGCGGGCGCTGTCGGAGGGTCAGCGCTGAGGGAGCGGGCGCTGTCGGTGCTGAGGGAGTGGGCACTGTTGGAAGGTCAGTTTTCGGATGTGAAATTAAACAGAGGCCCTGGCTGCCCTTTCGGGGGGGTGGGGGCGGTTGGGTGGTGGGGGAAGGGGAAGGGGTGTCCTGAAACAGGAGGGGCCGCGCCAGAACACCAAGATGGAGGGAGGATGCTGGGACTGGGTCATCGTTGAAATGGGGCTGAATGGCCAACGCTGTGTGTCTGGCTCCCCTCACACCCAGACCCTCCCAGAGACGATAGCCCATCATCTTCAACCTGCAGTCCCTCCCTCCTTCAATTGGAAGTGGTGCTAGGCAGTGTGGGTCACTGCCCAGGCTGGGATAATCCATGCCCCTCTCCCCTCTGGCTGTTTCCCATCCTCGGACGTGTGCTGACACCCACCCCATCCCCTCCCTCCCCACCAGGACCCTCGGCATGATCGATTGACGTTTCTGTGCTGACCTTCCTACATCACACAAGGTGCTGTTTTTGACCACAGAAACCACACGGGCCCCAAACAGTTTCCATTCGCACAGTCCCTCGCTTGCTCGCTGCACTGCACCTCCAACAGCTTCCTCTCCATCGCAACATCCAGCCCGGGGCCTGTCTCTGTCTCTCTCTGTCAGCCCCTCCATCCCCTACATCCCCTCCCTATCTCTGTCAGCCCCTCCATCCCCTATACCCCCTCCCTATCTCTGTCACCCCCTCCAGCCCCTACACCCCCTCCCTGTCTCTGTCACCCCCTCCAGCCCCTACACCTCTCTCACCGTCTGCACACACACACAGACGCGCGCACACATACACAGACGTGCGCGCACATGCCCACACACACACAAACGCGCACACACACATACGTGCGCGTACACACGCACACACACAGACGTGCGCACACACACAGACGTACACAGACATGCGCGCACACACACACAGACGTACACACACAGATGCGCATGCACACTCACAAACACTCACAAACACACACACTCTTACACAATGACACGCACACACACGCAGACACAATGACACGCAGACACA